AAAAGTTGAGGTGCCTTTATTATTCTTTTGTTCCACTCTTTTTGTTTCTATGGGGTATTTGCCAATGCAATATCACTGTCTTCCTTTTAAACAAATAAAACTTAAAAAAAAAAGAAAAAAAAGGACAATGGCTGTTGAAAATAGCAATTCCAGTCCTAAAAACCACTGGGAAGCATTTCTTGCTCAATTTTATCCTACTTTTTCTACAGCAAGTTACAGTGGATCAGTATATTTGATTTGGGAGAAATGAAGTAACAGCTGCCCAAATTGAGCTTGAGCACTCCTAAATTTTGAGGTGTTCAAATCTGGAAGGCAGATGCTAGATTCCCTTTCTGAATATTAGCTAAATCTGGAAAGGAAAAGTCAATTTCTGCTTCCATGGCTCAGAAGTGGAAATCTTCCTCGTGCCTGGTACTGTATCTAAAGCTGCCCAGGTCCAGTAGAGCCTCCCCTCCCTTACTTTTCATTTTAAATTCTAGTGGGATCCACATACCTCCCTGGCTTAGGCTTCAGATAGAGAGGTGCACTGTCCATTTAGTCCACCCAATTCTTTCTTTGGGGGCTGCAAGGTGAGGTCATATCAGTATCACTAATCCAGTCTGGGGATGTCTTCTGAAGGGGGTATCTGGGCCAAAGCCTTTTACTCCTTGGGCATACTTGTTCCCCATTCACAGTGCCACCCCGCTCTAGCAGTGAGCTCTCCATTCAAAGCAAGCTGCAGCATGAGGTTTCAGCTACCATACTCCCTCCCCCTCCCTTTCCTGTTGATAGCGGCCAAGGGAATGCTGGGAAATGTAGTTCTTTCCCTGCTCCAGGGCTGGCTCTATAGGCAGGGAGCTAACCAAGGAACTACAGCGCCCAGGGCCCCCTGTTGGTTCTCAGCGCCCAGGCTGGATACCTGCCAGCTGCCGCCCCTGCAAATGGGCTGCCCCAAGCACCTGCTTGCTTTGCTGGTGCCTAGAGCCGCCCCTGCTGCCCGTTCCCCAAAGAAGAATGGATCCCGCTTTGGATCTGGGTGACTCTCTTCCCCATCATCCTCTCAGATCTAATCATCAATAGTGTATCATGATTTTATACAGCATTTTTCATCCATAGATCTCAAAAGACTTTACAACAGAGGTCAGAGTCATTATCCATATTTTATGGATGGGTAAACTGAGGCAGAGATGTGAAATGACATCCTCAAGGTCACTCCACAGGCCAGTAGCAGAGCTGAGAATAAAACCCAGATCACTTCATTCCTAGCCTTGTACTCAATCCATGAGGCCACACCACATCACATGTTACTTGATAGTACAGACTGAGGTAGTATCAGGAGGAAGTGGCTCTAAAAGCCTCTGAACAGTTCAAACTCAGGGAGCCCTCAGTGGAAGACACAGCATTTCCTGCAAGGGGCTGAGTAGAACAGGTTGAAAATGTTTTTGTGCAGAGAAAAACACTATTTTGTTGAAAATGAATGTTTTACTAAAATGTATTGGTTTTGGCAGAAATGTTTCTCAAGCCCAGGATGGACTATAAGAGCGGGACCTTCCCCAGAGCAGCCAATTGCTCAGTAGTTAGCTAACTCACCTGACTCGTTCACCTGCTGATTTATTGCTTTTAACAAGGACTCAGCTCAGAAATACCAATCCCAAACCACTTTGGATGAAATTTGCCTCTGGACGGAGAGCTAGCACAGGGCCCGTGAACTACTTAGGATACGTCTATAATGCAAAAAAAACCCCACCTGCAGCAAAAAGCTCAGGTCTACAGACTTGGGCTTGTGGAGCTTGTACTTTAGCGTTAAAAGTAGCCAAGTACATATTCCTGGTCGGGCTGGAGCTTGCGCTCTGAAACACGATGAGAGGGTTGGGTCTGAGAGCCGGGGCTCTAGCCCCAAAGGGAACATGGCTATCTTTAGAGACATCACATCCGCCCAAGTTTATAGACCAAGCCTCTGAGACTTGCTGCCATGGTTTTTTTTTAAATTTTTATGTATGTATTTATTTATTTATTTTTGAAGTGTAGATGTATCCTTCAATCCCGCTTAAGCCATGTTGCAAGACTTAAGTGAGACTCACTTGGGATATGACCTAGGCTCAAGTTCCTGATCTACAATAGGGATTAGAACCGGAGTCCTCCACATCCCAGTTGAGTGTGCTGGCTCTTCTGGGACAAGTTTCTTGCTTTTTCTTTTTTCTTTTCTTTTTTTTTTTTTTCTGTTTTTGCAAAGAATTTCAAAAGGTTTTGGTTTCACTCCATGTTGGAATGAAAACAAATTTTGTAATCTCCGGATTTTTTTCCAGCCAGCCCTGCTACTGAGCACTCTCATCTCCCACTGGCTTTATGGCAGATGAAGACTGGCAGCACTTCTTAGGTTCGGGCACAAAGAGAGTTGTGGTTTTCTTTGTGTTGAGGGAGGAGGGAAGGTCCCCTGAATCAATATGTGACTTCCTCTCTATAGCACAATTATACAATAATGACTGGCATAGTGGCCCTTTTCCCAGCCAGTACAAGACCACGATACCAGGGACATGACAATGATGACCATGGACAGAGACAGGCACATGAAAACAGGAAGTGTTCAGCATATTAGGCCTCACTTCATGGTCTTAACTGGAATCTCATGTGCAAACTGCAGATGTTTCACCTTGATTTGGGGTGACCCAGCTCAATCTGAGCCCATTTCTTTCCATCACTAATAGAAACACTTCCCTAGGTTTTAACCTCAGAAGTTGCCAACGTTCCTCAACTCCATGAAGTGTGGTCACAAAGGTATAGTCTGTCAGTGCTGAAAGCAGAATCTGCTAAAATCTGAAGCTGATCTGGGCCAGAGCCAGATAGTAATCCCTAACTGCTCTAATGATGAAATGCAAGACACACTAATGGGGATGCTGGAATTGGCTGAGAAAAGGGGAATAAGCCAATGCTGCAGATTTTAGAAAACATTACGAAATTATCCAGAAAACAGCAGTTAATTAAGTGCAATTATTTTTTTCTGCCTTTGTAAATGAAGTGTCTCCGTGTTTTGGGGAAACTGCTGAGAACATGAAAAGAAACACAGACAACAAAACAAAGGGATAGAGGAGAGAGAAAACTGCTAAAGATACCACAGGACTGATTTCCAGAGGTGCTGAATGCTCACAACTGTGAAGTCAGTGAATGTCATGGGTGCTTAGCTCCACTGCAAGTCAGTCCCTGGGTGAATCTGGTGCTTCTGGCATCTGTAGGGAAATAATGGGAATGAGAAAGAGATGACGAGGGGGGAAACTCTTTGGGGCAGAGACCATCTTTCTGTTCTGTGTTGGTACAGAACCTACCACAATGGGGGCCTTGGTCCATGGCTGAGGCTTCTAGATGCTGCCACAATAATAATAATAATAATTAATAAGGAATATGTTTTTCTTCTGACTCAGTTGTTTGTTCATTAGTAACTGAGCAACTAAAGAGGAGAAGGAGCTGAGGGGAGGGGTCCTCTTCCTTTCTGGGTGGGAAGTGAAAAAGATGAATCCTTATGTGGCTGTTCCCTGCTCCAGCTGTACTGCCAAGACCCATTAAAACTGGGTTGAAATCAGTAGGATGTTAGGATGTCACTGGTACATCCAGCAGCTGAGCAGCTCTGCCTAACTGCATCTGATAAATTTAGTAACACTGCAGGGGGATTCTACCTAGATGTACCTAGTACTTATAGCAGCACAGCAGGTGCATGCTCTCTGAATGTGCCTGGGATGTCCAGGTGTCTTTTTCCGGGATGTAATAGTATGTTTAGCAACGCAGCAGGTGCATTGAACCTGCACATCCCTAATATATTTAACAGCACAACGGGCATGCTTCAATGGAAAGTATTTGGCATTCTCATCAACACAGTGGGTGCACCTGGATCTATCTGGAATATTCAGCCACTGCAACTAGACTATGAATTTATCCATTACATTAAAATAAATGTTTTTAAATTGTTTGGAGAATGAAAAGAGTTGTTTCCTATAAACTTAACAATCTAACAAACATTTTAAAAAGGTTTTAAAAACATTTTAAAAAACATTATTATATTGCGGTAATTATATGAAAATTGGTCTTGTCATTAAGATATTAGATTGGGACTCAGGAGATTGGGGTTTGAGTCGTGGCTCTTCCACAGATTCCCCACGTGTCCAGAGGCAAGTCAATCTCTCTGCTTCAGTTCCCCATCTGTAAAATGGGGCAAATAACACTTCACTTAATGACAGAGGTGTTGTGAAATTTGAACACAACAGTCATAGTGAGGTGGTGTATAAGTGCCTCGTACACTGTAAGGTAATAAGGGACCATTATGACCATCTACTCTGACTCCTTGCAGAACACAGGCCAAAGAAACTCACCTAATCGATGCAGACGATTGGAACAATTTACTGAGGGTTGTGGTAGATTCTCCATCACGGAGAATTTTTAAATCAAAGATTGGCTGATTTTTCCAAAAGATCAGCTCTAGGAATTGTTTTGGGAAGTGTTATGGCCTGTGTGATACAGGAAATCAGATTAGATTATCAAAATGATCCCCTTTGGCCTTGGAATCTGTGAATGGTAATTTACCTTTTTTGTTTGTTTGTTTGTTTCCAAACTGTTTTCCAATAGCATCCTGGTAAACCCATCTGCACAGATAAAGCTCCATCGAAACACAATAGGCTTTTTTATTGCCAAATCCAAGGTGGAAGTCAAAAGGTAACTTTCCATACTATCCTACAGTAAAATAGTTCTAGAAAAGTAGAGCTTTCAAGAGTTAACAAATGTATTTGGATCTCTTCCTCCACTCCGCTAAATTTAATCCAATTTCTCCCCATTTGCTTTTGTTGCTCAGGGCTCATTTTTACTGTAAAGCCTGCCATAGTGATATTGATGATCCAAAGCTGATTAAAAAATGTCACTGCAGAAGCAGATCTCGGACAAGATCCTTTTCAGGTAACGTTCTGTTCAGACTGGGTTTCCGTTAGAGGAAATAGGAAGCAACTAGCTAATTCATACCTGATTCTTAGGTTATTGAGCCATCCTCTTTATTCTGTCTGTGAAAACATAGGTTTGAACATTACCCTTTATCCTTCTGAAAGATTGAAGCTGAATTGCATACAATTTATTGAGTGCAGATCTTTCAGACGAATTCTCAGAAGACCTTTAGATCCCATCTACTCTGACTGGACAGTAAAGGTTCCTGTTGCATTTTTATAAGAGCCACATCTCCTTCGCCAGAATTTCCCCTATGCACATTGTCATACTTTGCATGGGCTGCTGCTCTTTAACTCCAGAACCGGAGTCTGGGGCAATTGCATCTCATTGGTGCTAGATGCGTATAGTTTGTGAGGTGCTTTGGTTTGAAAGGTGCTACAGGATAAACCCAGAGGTCCTTACTCAGTTTGTACTCAATTCCTGCTCAGGCAAAACTCTCATTAAAGTCAGTGGGAATTACCCTAAGTAAAGGTTGAGTATGACAATGAGTAAGGATGTCAAGATATTACTCTATATAAGATACTATCATCATCATAAGACTAGGAAATAATAAAAATGAAGGCAGCAAAGATGTATTTGAGGTTGAGCAAGGAGGTATTATAAGATTTAAGGAGTTTAGGCTAAAAATTGGGAACGCATAGATTGGATGGGAAAAACTCCTATTCACGATAATGTCAGTGCAACAGTGGAATGGCTTCATTCCCATCCCACCCCAAATTCCCTGGCACTGGAAATGGGATGTACAGCCTTTCAGTAATATGTCACCTGCTGAAATCTACCCCAAGTAGTAAGTACAAAGTCTTTCAGTCCATTGGTTCTTCATTGGCTTACGTGAATGATTTGATGGATCTCAGTTCATTCCTTAGTGGATACCTGTCCATGCCAAAATGTACATCACTTTGGTCATTACTAATTAACACCCTTCTTGCTTCATAGATTCATGGAGTTCAAGGCTAGAAAGTACCATTACATCATCTAATCTGACCTTCTGTACATAGCAGGCCATTAAAATTCACCCACTTATCTCTATATTGAGCTCAATAACTTGTGTTTGACTAGAGCACAACTTGTATTATACCACCACGACCAGAAAGGCCATGGAACTGTGATACTCTCCTATTCTCAAAAAGTGTTCTCCTCAGAATAATGTTGAGCTCCGTTTTGGTGGCCCTCTGGAGCACCCATGCACAGCAGCTATACATACTGCCTGAAATTTTCAAAAGCAGTCTAATGGAAGAGTTGTGTCTAAATCCCCTAGTTTTAGTGGAGAATGTATATGTAAATCTAGACTGTTTTGAAATTCTCAGCCACTGTGTCTGTGCCTTGGATATAAGACTTTTGCTGTACACAGCTGTCAGTCAGGTATCTTTCATCAGCACTCAGCAAATTCACACACACAAAATATATATTTTAAATTAAATCTCCTTTCAGCAGTAGATGGCAGCCAAGCCCCATTATTAAATGTCTGGCTGAAGTGCACAAGGCTGAGATAAAGGAAAAACTCATTCATAGAGAGTCCTCAACAAAACAGGCCATATGAACAAACACAAGCATGCTGACACCTGGAGGATTCCATGTAGGAATGTCATTTATAAAGAGAAATCGTAGCCCATTTTTCAGTCCCACATACTTATTAAAATAGATGCAACTAAAGTCCCCCAAAGCCAGCTGATTCCCAGACAGAAGCTTCTGTATAATACAAAAACATCTCAAAAAGAGTCATCAAGAGACAGATGGACAGACATTGACACTGTAAGAGCTCTCACACCTGATGGCTTTTCCTTTTCCTTCCTGTGCAATTTAAGGCAGTTGGATGAAAGGGCAAGATGGGAATTTAATATAAATGTAGCCTGATAAAAAACAATTGTTTACAGTTCTGCACCAGATAGACTGCAGGGAAACATGTGCTTCAGAGAGATCGAAGTATTACCAGACATAAGAACTTGCTGTCAGTTCCCCCTAGCAAGGGTCCTGATTTGTATCAGTTGAGAATCTGGCCTTATGTGAATTACACAGGGAGTCTGTGGCAAAGCCAGCAATTGAACCCAAATCTCCTGGCATACAGTCAAATGCCTTAACTTGAAGACCATCTTTCCTCAGACTCAGAGGTTTCTCAGATGACTGTTTCTCCTGAAGCTAGTTAGGCTGTTTTTATACCATATCTGTCTTGGCTTACCATACTTTTATTAAGCCTGATCTCCTGTAAAGGCTGACAGCTGCATGCTGTGCCCTCAGAGAGCTGTTTTCTTTCCCACCCACCTCCTGGAAAACAAATCCCCAGATAAGGAAACATCAGTCACTTGGATAAACTGAGACAGGACACTGTAAGTAAATAGAGGCTGGTAGAATGGCAGGTAGAGCTATCTTGTTACCAGGAGTAAATGCACCTGCTTCTAACACACCTGTGTGGTACAATTGCTACTTATTAAAGTTGACAAATGGCCCATGCAAAAAAATGTTCCTTTTCTGCCAGGTATATGTTTCAACTCATGAGACCTGATGTTGTAACTCTTCCCAAACTGTTCTAATCCAACTGAAAGAAGGAAATAAAGGTTTCCCCTATCAGGCTGTGCAATGAAGAGCTATGCAGGTCTGAATGCCTCTTCAGGCCAAGTTCCACCCACATACACACATGGGACATTTTTGGACACACGTAACGTAGAGATCTTTGCTGAGCCTCCTGTCAGGCTCTGACAGTCATAGGAATGTAGAGTAGAAAGGCAGGCGGCAAGACAGAGACTCTGAGAAGCAGTGGGCCAAATCTTGAGACCTTTGCACAGTTGTTACTCAGCAGGAAGGACCTCAGGATTTGGCCAAGAGAGGATTAGATGGAACATCAGTTTATTCAGAGAAATGATACTCTAGTGGTTAGGGTGCTAGTCTGTGACTTGGGAGGCCTAGGTTAATTTCCCTGATCAACTGCCGACTCCCTGTGTGACACTGGACAATTCACTTGATCTCTCTGTGCCTCACTTCTCCATCTGTAAAATGGACATAATAACACTGCCCTTTTTCACAGAGTCCTGTGAGGATAAAAAGGTTCAAGACTGTGAGATGATCAGACAATTGCGTGAGTAATGGGGTCCATATAAGTGCCTAAGACAGATTCACTTTTCCCTCTATGACTTTTATTTCTAATCAGGTGGAAGAGATTGTCTGGAGCTCTTTCTCTAATCTAAGCGTAACTCACCCATGATGAGCATCCCCCACTCTCTTCCCACAAAATGCAGTTGAACACCCAGGCATAACAGGCTGTGCAAATGTGTATTATACCATAGGACCTAAGGGCTTGTCTACATGGGGACAGTAAAGATATGTCTACACGGAGATTATACTGGCCTAACAAGTTTTTTTTGTTGGTGCAGGAACACCACCTTCCCAAATGAAGTTAGCTGTGCTGACGGAAGTCATCTTTCATAGAGATAGTTGTGTTTACACTGGGGATTATGTTGGTATAGCGATGTCAGTCCGGGGTGTGGTTTTTTTTTTTCACACCCCTGATCGACATAACTATGCAGTTATAACTTTTTAGTGTAGACCAAGCCTCAAGAAAGTTAATCTGAATTACCTTTAAAATGGATTAGTTGAACTAAATCTAATTAAATCCATGTGGACAGTCTGATGCAGAATTATAAAGTGGCCTTAATTTGGTTGATTTTATTTCACCTTGGAAGTGAATTAAACTAAACTGAGCAGGCTACGTCTACACAGCTCCATAGTGTGAACTGGAGGGGTGTGAATGGCAGAGTGCACTGAAGAGCTGAGCTCTAACTGCCCCAGGTGGATGCGGTTGGGGTAAACTGAAAGGTACCTTGTTCATGTTAACATAGTCCTCCTTCAAACTATACTATAGCGTATAGTATGCACATGACAGCCATATACATGGCCAATACCCCATAACTACCAGTTAATGCAGTCCTCTTTCAGACAGGACTTTATTATGACAAATAATGTACCTTTTAGTTCACACCAGCAGCGTTCACGTGAAGCAGTTAGAGTGCAACACTTTGGTGTGTTCTGCAATTCATACTCCCACAGTTCACACTGAGTTACGGTATAGACAAGCCCTGAGTTAAGGCCCCTTTAATTCTGAACGAGCATGTCCACACAGGGTTTAACAAATCCACTTTAAATTCACACCTTTGTTAATTCAGATTACTTTTCCTGAGTGTCCCTACGCAACAAGCCCTTAGTGCATGGTAAAGATATTCACCTTTCAATGAATAAGACAACTAGGCCGATCAAAAGGGAGTCGGGTTCAGATCCCCGAATCAAAGACACTGGAAAAGTCTGATTTAACCCAATGGTATATAGCTTGGAGTTTGCATTACCCAAGAATAAATGGGAGGGTCACCTGTTTTGGGGGGCAAAACTTGGCAGTTTTGAGTGAGTTTTACTTTTAGTTTTTTGGTTTATATGAATCCCCTAAAAACCACAAACAAAAAGATTTATTTGAACAGCCCTTTGGAATGAAATCATGAGTCGTATGTAGTATTAGTCATGTATAAGGTTATCATGTACATACTATACACATACACCATAATATAATACTGTGCTTTATTAGCTGTGTGGTTGTTTGGCTAAGCAATTACCCAAAGCCCCATTCTCAAGCATTTGTTAAGCCCCTGCAGAACTCTCATATGGCGCGGTGGCCACTTGCAATCAGCATATAAATACAGCCAAGGGATATATAAAGAGAGGTAAATTCCTTTTCACTGCCTTTTTTTTTTCAGACAAGCTGAGGATTCCTCAAGAAACACTGTACCTTCCAGACCAAGAGCCAGTAAAGTCGATGTCTCTTGGGGTTCTTCCTGTTTCAGGTATCACTGCCAGGTAAGAAATTCAGAACTCTTCTTGGTCTTGCTACTGCAGTGAATATTTGTGTGGGAGATGAGAATGGCAGGTGTTTTCTTTCAGGATGGAATTAAAAACCCTTTGCACCTACTACTTTTTGTGACATTGCTACTGGTTTTGATTGCAATAGATGGTTTAATGGCTCCTCCCTGCCTTGATTAATTGAATGGCCTCGTAGAAGCTCAGTTCAACCCTACACACATCCAGCTTCTCAGTCCATCAACCCATACTCTCCTCAAAGGGCTCAATTCTGCAAGATGCCAGGCATTATGAACTCAGCACCTGACAAAAAAGTGCTCAGCACCTTGCATGCCTGGAAGGTTTAGCAAATCTGGACTCTGGTGCAGCATGGGAAAAGGATGATATAAAGCTGAATGGCTTTGAATCCCAGAGAACCCCCTGACAGCAGTCCCACTTGTCTAACCTAAGCACCAGCCTGAATCAGTCTGCTGACCATAGTGGTGGCAGTACCACCAGGAGAGACCTTCCCAGGTTTCACAGTCTAAATTCCTCCAGCTGTCTCCACTGGATATATGGTCATCAGAAGAATTTGAACATGGGCACCACACTAGAGACCTCTCCTGCAGGGATTAAGAGAGTCACTCCAGTTAAGCTAGATTGTGCTACCTCTTACTCACATTGAGTAGTACTTACCTTCCCAAGCAGCCCTACTGACCTTCAGTGGGACTGCTTATTGTGTAAGATGCTACTCAGCCAAGTAAGGGGAATCACTATCTGATACTTAGCTGGCAGCAGTAGTAGGCTGTTATACTGTGATGAACCATGCACTAGCGGGGGATGGAGCACATATTGGCCAGAGTTGTTATACAAGGACTTGTGGGGAGTACACAAGATCCTGGCAGGGGAGGAACACACATGTCCATGCCCATGCGTGATTTTGCTTAGTCATAGCAGGAAAGTCCATTAAGTGTAGATCAGCGTCTTCCATTGTGAGTTAAGTATTCTTTAATGGGCCATTCACTTGAATAGTTCCTTCACAATGTGCTGGCTAAATACCATGTGGGTGCTACCCAGAAGCAATCAATACATGCATAATCATAGCATAATCATATTAAGCAAATCATAACTTTTCCATTGACACCTTACTTGACACACTTTGTATAAGATTTGTTGCAATTATATAACAGTGGTAACAACAATGATCTACATGGTCATATTTTAATCAGATATCGTCACACAATGTTTGTCACTTTCCTTCTACAAAGGCTTGAGATCTAAGTCGGTTAACAGTTCATGAACACCAGAGACCTGGAGAAAACAAATCTTAATAAATACCCCCCCACACACACACAATCCTTTTGTCTGTTTTGACAGCAAAGACAAGCATTGGCATAACAAAAACTCCAGGGTCTCCTCTGGGTAGCTTTGCAGCTCGGCAGCTGTCCCCAGCACTTACATAGGATCAGAACAATAAAACATTGTTCATTGCTCCTGCTCTACAACCAGTTAGGTCAGTTGTAAATATTGGAACTGCATAGTAAACACATACACACACGCTGTTAGACTGTGCTGACTCGTTAAATATAAGTGAAAACACAATTAATTTATAACACGTCTCTTTCCCCTTACATCCCACAACATAATTTACCAAAAAAAGAGCCCTCACAACCTGCTGAAATATCATTATTAAAATGTGCCTGAAAAGTCAATTATGCCAGAGGGAGGTATTCAAGAGAAGTGAGTTTCCATACTCTGGCATTACACCTTGGGGATTAGGAATTTCTTATTTATTTATTTTTCCCTGAGATCTTTGCTGCCGCTTAACGAAAAGGAACACAAATTTTACTAGGAGATGTTCTGTAATTCCCTGAAGATGCGGCCAAATACGCAAATACATAATTCCCTTCCCCATCAAGATTCTCCCTCACCATCAAATCACAAAAGAGGCAATGATGTCCCATCTAGCCAAGCCATCATTGTATCCTACACAAGGTTTTCGGATGTCTAGATTTAAATGCCACCAGGGATTAGACTTCCACTGCTTCCCATCGGAGGACATTTTACAATGTTACAGTTAGTAGTAGTACTTATTATTGGCATTATAATAGTGCCTAGAGACGCCTATTGAGATCAGGAGGCACTGTGTACACACATAGTAAGAGACAGTCCCTTTTAAAAAGAGCTCACAGTCTAAATGGAGAAGACAGCCAAAGTCTCAGACTATGCGACAAAGTTTTGCTGGCATAGCTATGTCATCTATGAATTGGAAAAAAGCATACCCCTAGCCAACAGAGCAATGCTGGTGAAACTTCTGGTGTAGACACAGCTATGTCAACAGAAGAGTGCTTCTGTCATCTTAGCTAATGTTGTTCTGGGAGGTGGTGTGATCATGCCAGGAGAAGAACTTCTTCTGTCTGCTTAAGCTGTGTCTCCACTAGTGGGATCTGCTGGCATAGCTATGCCAGTGAAGGCTCTGTAGTGAAGACAAGCCCAAAGGGAGGGGCACACAGAGAGGGGAAGTGATGTGCTCCTGACAACTCTATCTAGCAGAGTGTGTATCCGCTTTGTGAGCTTGGGCACAACAATTCCGTGCTCCGGTAACTTTCTTCTCTTCTTCTTTGGTTCACGTCCATATTCTCAGCAATGACAATGGGGCCAAATGAAGTCTTTTCCATTCTTCATTCAGTTTCTATTGTCTAATATTCCACAAGTGTTTGACCCTGACTCCTTGGAGGGCCAGGCATGACCTTCTCTAAGCGGTTGCCACCACTAACTACTCTCGCTAACTTTAGCATGCCAGCTGAGGTAAAGTACCAGGGTGTGACACTGCAGTGTACATGCAGCTATTTGGACCCACTAGTGAGAGCTGAGTGAGTGGCCAGGACCAACTGCAAGCAAACCACCCCCTACAGCTGTGGCTGCCTCCTGTGTAGGGGCACTACCGGTTGAACTCACTCCGTACATCCTGAAAGTCACTTTCCAGGTTTCAACATTTGGTTTTGTTCTGCACTGGAATGAAACAAAACCTTGTGCATGTCTTTGCAACAGTGGAATTGAGTGAACATGCCTGAGCGTTTCCATCCTGGGCTGCCTAGTGAGAGGATGACTATCACACTCCATAGCACAGAGGTTAGGTTAGGGTAGCGGCCTGCAATGTGCACAACCCATGTTTATATCCCTGCTCTGCACCCCAAATGCAGCAAAGCAGGGATTTCAGCATGGGTCTTCCACATCCCAGGCCGTTGCCCTGACCCCTAAGCAGTAGAATGTGTCTCCCTGGCTTGAGCCCTGGACCAAAACCCTTCTTGACAAATTGAAATGTCATCGAACTAGGGATCCTTTGCACCTCCATTGGGATTTTAAAAGAGGATCTATGGAAATTTAGGAGCCCAGCTCCCAGTGATCTTCAGTGGGAGCTGGGTACTTAGCTCTCAGATGCTCCTTTGAAATCCCAGCCCTTGTGTTCATGCACAGAAGTGCTCCAAAAGTTTTCCAAACTGGCTTAATACCATTTGGAGTATGCTCTGCTGCTGCAGCATTAGAAGCCACTTTCTCTTGAACCACTGCAGTGCATATATGGACACAGACTAACTGCATTGGTTCACATTGTGTACCAGAGGCTGTTCAAAATCTTCAAGATGCACCACTTCTGGGAGCTATGGTCAGAACTTTAGGATAGATGCCAAGAGGGCATTGCAGTTGAAATGATTTAGGGACAGTGCAGTTGTGGATGAGGTAATATGCAAAGGGTCTTAAACCAATTCATTCTAGTTAGTGTAGATCTACTGAACTATTCATGCTTAAATCAGTTCAGTTACAAATGGCTCTATTCCCTACCGTAGACAAGAACTTAGAGATCACATTATCCCTTGTTTATGAAGGTTGCAGGACTTGGGGACTTTTAAAGCACTTAGTTTTAAGCACTCCGTAAAAAAGGTGCTCAGATACCACTAAAATAGACTCCATCTAAGGAGTGAGAGAGAGAGAGAGAGAGAAGGTAGAGTAGGTACCCCCCAAAAAACAAAAAATTCAGGAATTTTCAAAATATGTTACTACATTTTCAGAACTCTTGAAATGTCAAAATCAGCAAACTTTTTCACTGCTCAAAAACTTTTCACTAGCTTCATATTTAGTCAAAAACTCTATTTTTTTTTTGACAAAACACTTGTGTCTATATTTGTTGGAAGAGGGTTCTTTGTCAAAAAATGTATTTTCAATTTAAAATTTCATCAAGAACCTGAAATTCAGAAAATTTCAAGGAGGTCCAGATGGAGGGAATAGGGCAGGGTCACTAACCTCAAAACCCACCGGGCCCAGGCCTTGCATAGATTTTTGGTTGCATGCAGAGCTCTGATTAAAGATTTCTTCTCTCAAACTACACATACAAAACTCAAATACACACACATACACATTTTTTCACCCAAAATAGATCACCAGGAAGTGGGTCTTTATATCCAGGAAATTAACTTAACTGGTGCCATTTCACAAAAGAAATTCTATAAAGCTGGGCTATAAGTGAAAAATAAAAACCTGTTAGGATCCTGAGACACTTATGAGTCCTTCCATCAATACATTTCCTTTACTAGACATGGTTTTTCCACATGTTCTTGCCTATAGGCATGACAAATTTAATGGTGTATTTTTTGCTGAGTTGATGACTCTTGTTTTTCATTCCTGCTCTGTTTCTAGATAGGTACTAAAGAATGTTTGTGCATAAGATCCCATATTGTGGCTTGACTGTGCTGTCTCAGGCTCCTTTTTGTCCTGGTTGGGAGATCGTTTAGCCAAACAAAGGATTAATAAAAACTGAATGAGATGAAAGGGAAAACCAGGTTAAAGAACCAAATTTTAGTTCCTCTTTAATTGAAACTTATCTAGCATCTGGATAATTGTTCCTAAAAACCTGCTGAGTTGCGAAGCCTACGTTAGGACTTGTCAGTTTTTAATAAATTTTAAAGACGTAAGATCTTATTCTTTGATGCTACCCATCACATCTCAATCCAAAGGCAAGGCAAAAC